GGACTGAATGCTCACCTCAGCCTGGAATAGGACCTCACAAGTTTATGTAGTCAGGGGCCGATTAGATATAGAGACCATATATGTAGTACATACAATACATTCCCCGCATGTTGCCTGTGCAATGCTTCGACGATGTTGTTGCAAAGTTGATAAGGTGGTCGACTGAAGACGACTGATAGTAAAAAAATATAATGGCGAATGGGTCTTAAGAATGGGTCTGCGGAATGGGCCTGCAACCATGTCTAAGGAGTGTGGAATGATCCCTTTTCATTTAGGTTTACACCATATTCCTCCGACCAGGCACTCGCATGGCTCCTAATACGAAATTTAGCATGTATTCATGGCAACACTAAGATACTTTCAGAAATTCAGAATTATGCATTTATTATACTAAAAAACGAACTAAAATAACGAACTTAAATAATAAATGGGTAAATGTATATAAGTTATAATCAGTGACTGACAAATCAGTTAAGCAAAGAGAACGAGAAGGAACGTGTGAGTCGCTTCTGGGGACGCAACTCTACTTACAACTCTACCCGTACTCAGTCAGTATATACATTTTTGAGCTTATGATTTTTAAGAATTTTAGAAAAAAAAAAATTTTACATTTTACATTTTTTTGCTACATATGATATCTACATCTACATCTACAATGTAAGGGTTGCTCGCGCACTGAACGCGGCAGAATGTGCGAGCGAGAAGGAAAATGAGATGAGATGAATGTTGTCGTTTGCAGGAGGGGGAGGGGAAGCAACTGAAAATTAATTTCTTCATTCTGGCTATAATTATGATCCTATCTGATTCAGATTCGGCAATCTGGTAGATATGGGCATTTTCTACGATACTGCGTTTTTAGTTTTATCGTATCTTTAAAACTGTGCCTGCCACAGATTTTCGTCCTTTGTGTGGGCGGAAGGGGGCGGGGCGAAATTTTGAAATACACTTGTAGCAGTGTGTTATCACATGAGTCTGGAAACCAAATTTGGTTTCTCTAGCTCTTATAGTCTCTGAGATCCAGGCGCTCATCAAGACGGACGGACGGACAGACGGACGGACAGACGGACATGGCTATATAGACTCGGCTATTGATGCTGATCAAGAATATATATACTTTATGGGGTCGGAAACGTTTCCTTCTCTGCGTTGCACACATCCACTTTTACCACAAATCTAATATACCCCTTAACTCTTTTTTGAGTACGGGTATAAAAAGAATGTAATGATAGTATAGAGATATAAAAAGGAATATATGATACAAAAATATTAAATATTTAGATTAAGTATGTAGTATGAGGAACCTTATCAATAAGTAAATTCATTTCTTTTCTTTTTTCGACTGATTTCAAAATTTCAAGAAATAACCAGGAAAGCTTCATGACAGAAGGTCAGTGGAGAACATGCACAATGGCAAGGTGCAGATGTAAATATTAGGGAACTCATTAATGGCTAAAGGCCAATGCAAAGCAAACGGGTACCACCTTCAATAATCTCATGGCTTGATTTCAATTTTTAGTTCATCACTTATGATATAAGTTACGTTGCTCCACGCAGAAAGATCTTTCCTTGTGTTAGCTGTGCTGGGATGAGTAAATGAATGGTTAGATGAGCGATTAGATGAATGATGGTCTCTGTGAAATATAATAGTGTTAATACGAGTTCCCAAAAATATTCAAATACACTTAGACCTTGACATGGATATTCTTTCATTAAATAAAAATTCAAAATTAAACTCAAATATGGTCATATCAGGTCCTAATTATACCCATATAATCTAATACCAAGGCAGCAGAAACAGTTGCTGCAGCTTAGGGTGCAGAATCCAGATAATGCCAAGTGAAGGCGTCGAGGCGTTGAGGTCAGTAACCTGCAGGCACTCCGTCGAGGCTGGCACTATGGGGCGGACATAGATGGTGCTGCGGCACGGCACCTAACGGATCCAGCAAAACCCTTCACTGCGACATGAAAGCCTCGCTTGGCGTCTCAGATCGTGAGGGCGCACAGTTCACCAGGTGGCTATGATCTCCTATAGGAGGCTGCTCAATGTAGTGGCAAGCCTATCGGTACAGCCGGGCGTGGAGAGTGGTTCAAGGGCAAAGCCCGAGGAACACCCTTCGGCGACGTTACTTGCAAAACGCAATTAGTGGTGCTAAGTCCTATATATACAGAGGAACACTTTAAAACCAAATATTGGAAATGAGCGGCTAGATATTTACACCAATGGGAAATGCACCACTTTAATCGAAAACGTGGATTTCTTCTCCAGGAGGGATGATACGAGCGTTGTGGCTGACCACGCAGGTGCTGCCGTGGTCTTGGGGTTAGGTACACCTCACGCTGCATCGAAAAATTTTGCGACAATTCACTTTTTTAGACCACTGGATATCGGTTGAAATATGAGCATACTCACAGATATAGCCCGAATATGAATGGTTGGAAAATTTGTCTTTTAACTGGCGAGCACAACTATCTCAATTAATCCGCGTGGTGTCTGGCTGTATATAGGGTTAAGATTCATCTATTATACAGAGCACCAGAATATCGCACTACTGAACTCTTTGACGATCACGAGGAGAAAGACAGACTCCCGGAACAGAATTGTGTAGCAGCCCACGTTTTTTCTTCCCTCCATTACAGTACATTTTGCCTTATACTTCGAATAAAAGCAATTAGCAATAAATATAAGCACAGTGCAGAATCAAAACAGCGGGATGGCGTTGCCACTTTTTGTCAAAACATATTGTTCGGCTAAGCGCCGGCCCATGGCAGCACAATGAGCAATGAGACCATATGTAACATCTCTTAAATGAAACGTCTCTCTTTATTACCGTTTTGTTTGCTTTGCTTATGCTCTATCTGGTGCTTTGCTCTCTGTCGGCGTTCGACAGCCGCTGTGGGGGAGGCTCGTCAGAGAAAGCAGCAGACACTTCAGATTCGATCATCACCGTAGTAAAACGTTTTGCTGTCTGGCACAGTGACCTGCCTGCCACAGAGTTCTGAACTAAACCTTACATAAACCTAACAACTTCAACAGTCTTGAACCGGCCCCGCGTCTTCAATCGACCCATCGTTAACTCTCGTTATCAAATACGCACACCTTTCGCTAGTTTTGGATAAAACATATATATTAACTTAAGTACAATAAACTGTGAATATATTAACTGAACAATCGTCGTCTCTTAAATAATCTGGCAAAACAACGCTACAGAAGAAGCTCAGTAGCTCAACATTTGGTGACCCCGACGTGATAGAAACTCGTTAAATTTTATCACAAAAAACATAACATTTTCGTTGGATAAATTTGCTTTGAACCACGGTTTTTCGGTTTGTCGTATGTGCACAAGCAACAGAAACGGTTCTCGCGTCATCTGCTTTGCGGTCTGCTTGCTTGCTGCTGTTTCGTTTCGGTTTCGTGCTCTCAGTGTGCATGCCTTTGTTGTTTTCGGATGCACAAGTGCAGTGCGTTTCAAACTGTTAGCTCAATCTCGCCCCCCTTACCTTTGTTCGTCGATTCGGAAGCTGCATTCAACAAGCGCAAGGTGCAATCCATGGTAGGAGTAGCACGGAAAATGGAAACTGCCGTCGGCAAGGAGAGGATTGGCGAACTCAGTGAGGAGGAGTTAAATGTGCGATTAAAGTTGCTAGCGGATCTGGTCGCTTCGTTCAACGAGCACCATAATGCCCTGGAGAGGATTGATCTCGATGAGATTGGCAGTCCCTTGAGGGAGGAGTTTGACGAATGCGTGGTCATGCTGGAAATTCGCATGAAGCGTGAGTTGAACAAGCGGCAGCCCACAATGCTCCCATGCTCAACAATGCGGATGACACACTTTCAGAGGAAACTAGGAAACTCATTAATGCCGGATCATCATCTACGATCCCATTAAGCATTTGCCAGATATTGATTTATGGATTAATAATTCAATTAACAAGCGTTTCTCTCCCTCTCCCTCTGTCTCTGTCACTCTCTTTGCAGGTATGTGACTGTTTTGCGATTCGTTTCGCTTTGATTTCGATATTCAGATTCCGAGATTCGATTGAGGATTGGGATTGGGTAAGGTAAACAACAGACTGCTTGACGCTTGGACCCTGCACCCGTGTGCCTCCCCGCCTTCAGTGGCCATCTCTAAATGAGCCCATTAGCTGTAAAAAGACAAATTTTTGCCCCCGCACAGAAGCCCCCACACGACAACAACAACGACGACGACGACAACCGACGACAACCGACGACTTTTGACCAAAAGCCAAACTTGATTTAATTCCTGTATCTGTAGCTTTAGCTTTAGCTAATGTACCTGTGTATCTGTGAGTGTTGCAAATGAAACGTGCCGCCAAAAAAGAGTGGAAGAAGAAACAAAAAGCCTGGAATCGAAAAAAAAATTCAAAAAGAAAAACAAATAGCTTTAGACTTTGGCAAACGAATGAATTTCTTGGCTCTTGATTCCCAAAGAAAAAAGGCAGTAATAGCAGAAACTTGATCTTGAAGGACGTTTTAGTAGTTAGACGGAAGAATGATAGATAAATAGAGATACAGATAAGGACAGATAAAGAGTTTGACAGAGAGAGAACTTATTTTACGTTTTTAAATTAATTTTAAAATCTTCAATCACAATATATGGCAATAAATTCACGCCTGCAGCCTGCTAAGCCACATTGGAAAAGAGAGCATAATAATAATAGTCCAAACCATCAATAATGAAACAAACCCTTCAAAGCCAATCCCATTGTAGATTTTCCCTTGGATAAGGCACAGCAGGCACTCACTTTGCTCTCTCCTCCCAAAAAGTATACTTTGTAAAATAAATTCTATTGCTATTAAAACTGCTTTCAACCATGTACTACATGGATAATTTGCCCACTTACAAGCTGGTCGTTGTGGGCGATTGTAAAACGGGCAAGACCTCATTGATAAATCGACTCCTCACAGGCCGTTTCAATGCGAATTCCTACTATTGGCCGACAATAATGCACACTGAACAGGATCTCGTGTTCGCTTCAATGTTTTTGACACCACCGGTGAGCACAAGCATCCCGTACTGGGCCGCATGTACCATAGAGGCAGTGACTGTGCCATCATTATGTGCGATCTGACCGACGAGGAGACCTGTGACAATGTGGTCCTGTGGAACACCCAACTGTGGAACGATTGCGGCCGCATTCCCACTGTCATTTGTGGCAACAAGGCGGGCGACCCCAACCGCACCGTTTTCAAATTTGATCCAACAATCCGCAAGTCGAATATGCAGTACTTTGACATCTCGGTTAGCAGCAACTACTGCTGCTCGGAGCCCTTCATTCATCTTTACTATCAGCTGATGGGCGAGCGTTTCCATTTTGTTACTTTGTTGCCGCCAAACGGGCTTGCAGCCATTCAGGAGGCGGACGAGCCCCAACAGAAAGACGATCGCGATTGCGATTGCGATAACGAGACGCATAAGAAAGAAAAAGATGATCTTGACAAGAAGAATGCTATCATAGAGAAAGTTAAGAAGTTTCTTAAGGAGAAGAACTGCGCCCTCGGGATGGACAAAGCCCACTGCGAGGAGGACAACGAGACACTGAAGAAAGACAGCGACGATCTTGAGGAGCAGATCGTAAACAATGAATAAGTTTCAATTTGATTGTTTTCCCAAAATTGTTTTAGTTTCTGTGCAAAAAGAAAAAGTTTATTGACTACTTTTGTTGTTGTTTCGAGACCACTAGAATTCGGTGCGATATGAGAAGTTTTCATACTCTAATGCTCTCTCTTGCGGTGTAGCTGGTAGGTGCATATATAGTTATGTCTTATTCTGTCAATTTGTGGGGTTGCCCTTTGGCCCCAGCGGCTGCTAACTATTATTGTGTGTATGAGCCCATATACAGTGGAACACCTGAAGTTGTAGGCATAGAGTCAAAAACCTTGCACTTTGGACCCCTCGCCCATTCCGCCTTCATGGAATCGGCTTGGCAGTCATTGATCTATTGTCAGTCGCGTCGCAGTGGGGCAGCAAAGTGAACAGCAAAGGTATATCACGAAGAGCGGTAAGCTGCCAAATGAGTTGCGGCCACTTGCTAAGGAATTGCCTTACCTTATATTAAAATGTACCTTGTTGACAGCGACGACTGCATTAGGCATCAGAGGCTATGACCAAAGACAATATAAGAATAAGATACATACCGCCACACGAATTTTGCAGGCTGGCTTTAGAGCTGGCTCCAGGCTCTCTTGAGCCTCTCTTTTTTTAGAGAGAGAGAGCGCTCTAGAGCCAGCCGCTCTCTTGTATGCATGCAGCATACGAAGGCACACGAAGTTGGTTCTTTGCCGCTGCGACAGCCGAGCCGCGTCGTCGCGACGACTGTATGTGTGCACATGCATAAGTTTTTTTACAGCGCTTACCACCCCAATTTTAAAAAACTCTTATATTGTATATCCCTCCAATGATAATTTCTTTTAACATGGTATATTCGATAATAATGAGCGGATATACATATATAACGAGAAGGAACGTGCTACTTATACCCGTACTCAGTCAGTATATACATTTTTGAGCATATGATTTTTTAGAATTTTAGAATTCAAACGAGAAGGAACGTGCGAGTCGCTTCTGGGGACGCGACTCTACTTATACCCGTACTCAGTCAGTATATACATTTTTGAGCATATGATTTTTTAGAATTTTAGCATTAAAAAAAAAAATTTTACATATTAAATTTTTTTGCTACATCTGTTATCTACATCTACATATACTATTTATATTATACATCTAACATGTATTCTACATGTACCTTTTAGATTCTACAACTCCTCCGCTAGGGGTTGCTCGCGCACTGAATGCGGCAGAGTGTGCGAGCGAGAAGGAAAATGAGTTGCGTTGTTGTTGGCAGGAGGTGGCAGGGGAAGCAACAGAAAATTAATTTCTTCATTCTGGCTATAATTATGATCCGATCTGATTCAGATTCAGCAGTCTGGTAGATATGGGCATTCTCTACGATACTGCGTTTTTAGTTTTATCGTATCTTTAAAATTGTGGCTGCCACAGATTTTCGTCTTTTGCGTGGGCGGAAGGGGGCGGGGCGAAATTTTGAAACACACTTGTAGCAGTGTGATATCACATGAGTCTGGAAACCAAATTTGGTTACCGTAACTTTTATAGTCTCTGAGATCCAGGCGCTCAACAAGACGGACGGACGGACGGACAGACAGACATGGCTATATAGACTCGGCTATTGATGCTGATCAAGAATATATATACTTTATGGGGTCGGAAAATGTTCCTTCTCTGCGTTACACACATCCACTTTTACCACAAATCTAATATACCCCTTAACTCTTTTTTGAGTACGGGTATTGTAATGTCCTATTTCAGGCTGAGGTATGCATCAGCCTGTTTAGGGTCCTGAATTACAAGATATTTATAATTCACGAGGACTTTATCGGGAAACCAGGAACTTTGCCAGAAAACTGAAATAGAAATCACAACACTTTTTGGTTCTTTTAATTTTAATAGTTTTCTTTATTCTTCCGTATGATTATTCTACCCGGTTATGTTAGGTTTTTCTTGTACTACGACGCGGATGGTGATTTTGACTGCCTCTCGCGATGGCTGATTGACTGACTCCCGACGATGGCTGGTGGACTGCCTCTTTTTATAGATCGGCCGGCCTTCCATGAATGTCTTATAGATATCTTATTTCTACTCCAGACCGTGGGAAGGGTTCTTACATAAATCTCTCTGGCCGAAGTATAGCCTGCGCGTGCAGACGGACTGATCGGTACCAGATGGTTACCAAATCATTCCCTGCAGTCAGTGTCCAATATCCAATAATCGATGGTTACCTAAGCACTCGCCTCCAATGTCCCAGGTAAGGTGATCGGTGTGCACCAGTACCGTGGGAAAGGAATTTCGTTGACGCTTCGGGAATATATATTGTTAGGAATATTTATTTATTTAATATTATTTTAGGTTCTTATTGCGTAAACCCCTTCTGCTGGTCTCCTGTCTTTTGCCGTGTGCTGAGGTTGCATTTTTGCTGGGTGTTGATCGCTTCACCTGGGAGTAGCGTTGGCTGCTTCATCTGCTTGTGACGAACCATGGGATCCATGGTTCGTTACACCCCCCCCTTTCTTCCGGGTGGGTGATGGAGAGATTTGTGGCGTCGCTTGGCGGGTGCTGGGGTTCGCCTTTTTTTTCCGGGTTATCCTGTCCTTTGGCTTGTGCCGAGTCTCCGGATTCGTCGCTGTTAATCTCGTCACTTTAGCGTGGCGTCGGTAACGCTATATTTTCTACTGCGGTTGTGATCGTGGCCTTTCTGCTGTTCTGGGTGCTTTGTAGTTGGTGTAGTTGGTGCTTGGTGGGTCGATTATCCCATATGACGATGGTTTTCTCGGCGGTTTTCTTTGGTCGTTATTTGTCCAGGCATTCTCGAATCTGCGGGGCTATGTCGGGTGGCCAAGGATCCGTAGTTATCCCAGATGACAGCATCTCCATCCACTATGGGGATGTAGTCGGCGTTCGTATAGTCATGTAACTTGACTAGTGCCTGGGTCGTCGTGAGCATGGTGAACAGAATTAATGTAGTGTCCATACTGTTTTGGCTGCGGTAGACGTAGGTGTTGGTTGGGTATTTCGAGGGGCGATGAGTTAACGGTGAGTAACTTGTAGAACTGTCTTTTGCTCGAGTTAAGAAGCGAACTGATTTAGTACCGGGAGAACTCAGCTATATATGGCGTTTTCCCTTTCTTGATAGAGCCGTTGCGGCTATGTATTTTCTCCGAACCGGGCTCAGGTTTCGTCTTAGCGGGTGGAGCGACACTTTTCCAGGTTATTGGTGGTATTTCGCTTTGGAGGGTGATCGCCGTTCGATGTCACGTGTGCTGAGTCTTCGACTTTTCTGTCTGTTGGCCGCGCGTGTGCTGAGGTTGATATTTCCTTGCTTTGTCTCGTCTCTTGCTGTGGATTGTGGTGGCGCATGTGCTGAGTTTTCATTTCTTTGGGTGTTGAACTCGTCATTTGAGAGCGTTCGTTACTTCCGTGGTAGTGGGGGTTGGTTACGTATTCTGAGCCCGCGGGTTTTTTTCGTTCTTGGCTGCGCGTGTGCTGCGTTCTCGTCTTTGGGTTCGTTGGCTTTGGCTGGTCAGCTGCCGATATATGGAAACCAGAGTCGGGGCTAGGGGGATTGCGGGGGGCTGGTGGTAGTATTTGCCTCGTCGGGGGCATCACTGTCCTCGTGGAATTCCTTCAGGTCGCTGATGTTAGCCACCTTCGCTTTTCGGCTGCCCGGATGCTGTAGTTTTACAATGTTCGGTGATGCAAAACCTTTGACTCGGTATGGTCCATCGTATTTCGGTGCCAGCTTAGCGGCGAATCCGTCGGCCGCGTTGGAGAGGTGGTGTTGTCGTAGAAGTACTAGGGATCCAATAGTGGGGCGCCATTGCCGGCGGCGGAGGTTGTAATGCCTTCCTTGTTCTTGGCTTGCCCTCTGGATGTTATTTCTGACAATGGTGAATACTTCGCTGAGTTTGGTTGCCTTGCCGAGAGCGGTCTCTGGGGGGCTTCCGGTGCCGGTCGTGACTTCGTCGTAGAGGGCTCCAGGCAAACGGGGCTCTCTTCCATGCAGTAGGAAAGCTGGGCTGAATCCCGTTGTCTCCGAAACGCTGGAATTTATTGCGAGGGATATTTCCGGTAGTAGCTCATCCCAGGTATTTTGACGATCCCCTACGAATTGGGCAATCATGGTCTTGACCGTCCGATTTGCCCGTTCCGTTGGATTTTCCTGGGGGCAGTAGGGTGCGGTATGTTGCAGTTCTACTCCTGCTGTCTGTAGAAATGACCGAAACGATCGATTTGTGAATTGCGTGCCGTTGTCGCATACGAAGCGTTTGGGTATGCCGAAATGGCTCAGGATTCGTTCTCGGAAAGCCAGTTCTAGGGTAGCGGTGGTGGCCTTTTTGAGTGGTACCAATTCGACCCATTTCGTGAAAGTGTCAAAGAAGACGAGCAGCATCGTGTTTCCTTTCTTTGATCGAGGTAGTGGTCCAACGAAGTCAGCGCATAGTGTAGCGAATAGCTCTTCGGTTTTGCGAGTAAGCATCCGTCCCACCGGCTTGCGCTGTTGAGCTTTGAACTTCTGGCAGCTTACGCAGCCGCGGACATATTTCCTCACGTCTCGGTAGAAACCTGGCCAATAGTACCGTTGGGATATTCGGGTGATGGTTTTCCTGACCCCTAGGTGGCCGGCTGTGGGTTGGTCGTGGCATTCGTGAAGTATTCTGGCTCGTTGATCTTTTGCTACGCAGAGTTTCCATGCTATATGGTCGTCGTCGTCGGCGCCATGGCCCAGATGTCGATATAGTTCCCCGTTAGCATAGGTGTAGTCGGGGTATTTCTGAGGCTCGTCTTGGACTTGTTTTATCCGGTGCTGGAGCCAGGGGCAGGCTGTCTTCTCCTCTTCGATCCGTGCGAGTGTTCCTAATGGCTGCCTGGATAGTGCATCTGCGACTACGTTCTGTTTGCCCGCTCGATAATGCACGTCATATTGGTATTGCTGAAGTTCGAGGGCCCATCTCGCTACTCTACCGTATGGGCTGTCAAGCGTATTTAGCCATTTTAGCGCTAGATGATCGGTGATTACATCGAATCGGTACCCTTCCAGTTAGCAGCGTAGTTTCCGAATGGCCCAAATGACCGCTAGGCACT